TGCAAAGAGATTTTCTAACCTTTGCCAAACAACATCAGCTCTGGTTTCATCAGAAATATGCTCATGCAAATTTATATCCATCCATCTTCTAATATAGGTAATAGCTTTTCTATGTTGAATTTTTCATTCCTCATCGTCCATAGTAGAAGGTTTATCTTTAACTTTGATGGGCTTATACAAATATTTGCAATAAAGTAAATCTTCCATTATACGCCTCCAAGTGGAATAATTTGATGAGTTCAATTTAATCATACCATCTGACTGTTTTATTTCAATCACACAAGAAAAAACTAGTACCAAATAACCTGTTGCTCTAATACCACTTGTTGGGAAAAACCTATTAAAGCAGAATAATTCTTTTCCCTCTTTGTGTATCAAAATGAGTTCCTCATCAAAATACCAACTTGATATCAAAATACAAATATCAACCAAAATAACATAAATAGTAGAGTAATAAATCAATCACACAGTGAGACCAAATTTTTAACATGAAAAACCCAATACGGGAAAAACCATGAGACCATAGTCCACCTCAAACTTCCACTATCAATAGTAGTAATAATAGGTTTATAATAAGTCTTCTCTAAAATAGCAAGAGGATCACAATAACATCAAGACCATATATCTTGGCTCAAGAATAGCATATCTTTAGATTAATCCCATCAATAAGAGAATTTTAGGTCTCACAAAGTGAATATAACAGGAAAGTACCTCATAGAGGTAAACTATAGATCAACACCGTTAGGATTATAGAGCTTGCTACAGGAATTCTCTGCATCAAATTTAGGCCAAAACTGACAAAGTTTAACCCTCAATCGTCAAGCAGAAAACTCAGAAATCTTACTTTCTCTCTCCTTTTTCTCTCTTTGTTATTTCCTCTCTCTCTCTCTCTCTGCGCGCCGCAACTGCTGCACGCCTTCGCTGCACTCTCTCACGTTCGCTGCCCTCCTTTTAATTATTGATTTGGGCTTATAGCCCTAATTGTCCAAGTCCACATATGGGTTGGACCCAACAATTAGTGCAGTGGATAAAACACATCGGTTCAAAAACTTCATACGATAAAAACTAATTTCGAAAATGTGAGTTTAACTTGAAAGCATATAGAAGCATAGTGAAAGTAAAGTGGTTTGTAGTAAAGGTAAATTGCTCAAAAGAAATACAAACCAGATTTTTATAGTGGTTCGGTCATCGTGACCTACATCCACTCCACTGATTCCTCTTCCGTCGAGGCCACCGACATCCACTAACGATCTTCCTTCAATGGGCGAAGATCAACTATCCTTATAACTCGATTTTTCTTTTGACAGGTTCATGAGAGAACCTTTACAATCCCTATAACCTCCTCTCTTAAGCTTCTCTAACACTTAGAGTTTGATAGGAGTTCACACAAGCTTACAATAGTGTTTTCTTTCTTTTTCACTCTCAATTCTTATGTAAGTTAACCAGGGATGAGAGGGGTATTTACAGGCCTCAAGTGGATTCAAACTTGGAGCCTAAAAAGATCTTTTCCCAAGTCCTAACGGTATCACCGCCTATGCTGGGCGGTACCACCGCCTACAACACTGATATTAGGTGGTACCATCGCCCAGACTGGTGGTACCACCAGTCGTACCATCGCCCAGACTGGTGGTACCACCGTCCAGACTGGTGGTACCACCGCCTGACAGTCTCAAAGATTGAGTTTGGGCTATACCACCACCTAACATAGTCTCGGAGACTGTGCCACGATGGTTCCACCAATTGGGTCATTGTTTGGGCCTTCCACATGGGCCCAATTGACCCCTAATTGAGTTGACCCAATTCCAACCTAATTATGTGCTACGAATTTTGAGGCATACACTAAGCTAAATAAGTCTGGTAAGTCTAGATTTCTTCCGACGAGCTTCTGGTAAACTTCCGATGAACTTCCAATGATCTCTCGATAATTTTCCAACGGACTCCCCGGCAAGCTCCTAGACTTCACGATGATCTTCATGGCGAGTTCCAATGAGCTTCTCTGGTAAACTCCTAGAGTTCTCGATCAATTCTGACAGAACTTCTGATGAACTGTTACAGACTTAGTTGGAATTGCCTAAGTCGTGAGGCACCCTTGTGGCCAAGATGCGAACTTAGCTTGAGTTGCCTAAGTTATGACGCACCCTTGCGCCAACTTCTCGGACTTAGCTGGGATTGCCTAAGTCTTGAGGCGCCCTTGCAACATATGCGTCCGCAAAGGTTCAGCCTAGTTGTAATCTCGTACAAGTCCCGAAGGACCTATAAAATAGAAAGTTGATTAGATTGAAAACGAGTGACGGACAAGTCCCGACGTCTCGCAAAGAGGGAAGCTTTACAAGAAATTCAGCAAGCACCTTATGTGCACAAGAGAAAAGAGAGAGAGAATGAAAACAAGGACTTTAGAAGGTAGAACGAACAGTTACAAGTCCACAAACAACTGCTCACCGGGTGCCAAGCGCGAAGGCAAGTTCCCTTCAAGTCAACATGCAAACTTGTGAAGATTTTTCAACGCCCGACAATATACCGAAGCCCCATCCAGCCCTATGCCACCCAGGGGGTTCTAGGGTGCTGAGATGGTTGATATTTCGCGCGTTGCAATAGGCTGTAGAAAATAACCCACGACACCCGGAAACGAAGTCATTTTAGGGTTTTTTGGCCTAGCGCGATGAGCGATCGCACTGTGCACTGCAACCTGTTCGAACATGTATTTTTACAAGCAAAAACACATAAAACCAAGGCAAAACAGGCTGTCATGTCTCTGTTCAACCAAGTAAAAGTGACGAACGATTCGTTGAACGAAGTTGTTGCGAGTGCGCGACGACTGTTCGTGATAGAACGTCCGGACTTCCGACAAACTCTCAAACTACCAACGAAATCTAGTTCTTGACTCCAGGACTTCATTTTTCTTTATGTCTTGATCACTATCATAGTTAATCTTGCATACTTAAAACCTACTTCGATCTAGACACTTATTATAAGGCTTAACTCAAATGTTGTCCGACATGCCATTGGTTCATCGATGCTTCGTTCGATTCTTCAGCGCATCGTCCTCTCTTGCAGCTTATTGCCCAATCGGGCAGTTGACCTCCGCAACTCCGATTTTCTTGGTGTAATTTTTGCTTTTCTTGGCCCGATGCCCGAATCCATGACCCAAAGCCTTCTACCGATACATCAATCGATCCTCCAACTCGACGTCTAATCTTCTAACATGTTCCATTCCGGCTCAACATGATTCTTTTTGTCTTAATCATCTCTTCCTGATCGAAGCTTCCTATGTCACTTAAAACGTAAATCAAATAAACACTATCAATTGGTTTCATCATTAAAATATGAGATTCAACAATATATTATTTATGGTAGCCACTTCATCCTTTTTTAAACCCTAGAATCAAACGAATCTACATAATGGTTTCATTCTATTTATATACAAAATTAAATATTATAAATAGAGCACATTATATTGGAAGTTTAAGGGATAACAAATTACAACATAAACTATTAGACAATAATCAAAATAAATAATTAATATAAAATTAGATATAAATCTTTCTTAAGGATTATTTCATCAACAAATCATACATCAAAGTACCCTTGAAACATATGTACTTTTGTGAATGTATATGAAAGTTATTATCATCAAAAGATTGGCAGTAGGCTTATATGGAGCAATACATATGCTCATATCATATGCATTATGCTAGGCTTGAACTACCTAGTGGATATTGTTTGACTGACAATACTGCTAGTATCGAATCATATTGAATGATATTGCAAATCCTGATTTGTCTCTCGATGACTTACAACTCATCACATGGATGTAGCTGTTAATACAATCCTAAATTTAATAAATTAATAATGTTGACAAAAAATAGTTTACTTTTTGATAGTTTATAACTGATGGTATCGATTAAGGTTAAGAAACTAATAATGTTAAGCACAATTAGATATACTAGTTCTATTGATCAAGTCGCATCAACTAGTAAGGCTTAAAATTAGTCAAGATTGAATAAACTAATAATGATGTCATTTTCAGCCTTGAAATTGCATCAACTAGTAAGGCTTGAAATTGCTCAGAACAATGTCATTTTCAGCCTATATAATGATGTCAATAATTTGTAGTTGAGAGAAAGAGGAAGGAGAGTGTTAGAAATGGGAGAAGATACACTTAGGTGGGCAAGAGACGGTGACTTCTTGATAGATGTTGACCAGTTGATGCCAACTGACACCTTGTTTGATCGATCCTTTGATATGGCATTTGACATCTGTTATGGCTAAAGTTTAAGTAAGTATCGTGGATCATTGATCTTATGCTTTGGGCGTATGAAATTTGTTTGGATTAGTCGTTTCTTTTCATTGAGCAATAGATCATCCATCACAATCAGATGTAAAAACTTGCAAACTGAAGGAGCATAGTTAACTCCATTTCCCCTAACACAAATTTGCAATGACAGTTGAAGAGATTATCGGAGACAACATTGGTTGTCACCTCAAACACCCGTTGTCTTTTAACTCCTCGTATAACTCCCCTTGTCTTAAATCATCGGATCAAACTCGATCCGATCCGCTTTGCAGAATCTGACCCAAATCGAATTGAATCAACCCTTGAATCAATCACCGATTCAATAAAAAAGATTGACCCGAGTTTAAAGGTATTATTGATATTTTAAAAAAAAGAGATATCCTTTAATAAAAGTAAAATACGGAGACATCATATTGTAAAATTTTATTATTAAATTACTCAAAAATATTTACAATGATAAACGAAAGAAAAATATATTATTATTATGATAAATCAAATACAGATAAATCAGAGCTAATAAGCTATCCAGACCAGACCATACAAATGCACGCGGAGCCTATGCAAAAGGTTTGGTTAAGATATGTTCAATTCCATCAAGTATACAAACGGAATCTAACCAAACATGTCCTCTAATTATTTCTTCGGAGATATGATAATATTAAGAAGACAAAATTACTTGAAGCATGGATAAAATCGACAGCGCCCCTCGTTTCACATTTAATTTGATGATCGGACGAATTATTATTCTGGGTGGGAGAGAGAGAGGGAGTCCAACTACTTACTTTATTGCTACATCTTTTCGCCCTCATCTGAGTTGAAGCCAGCAGAAGCAAGTAGAGATCTGGGAGAGCTTGAAGGGGGAAGGTCGAGATGAGTCTGCGCGACGCGGTGATCCGGCGTCCCGCCGTGGTTGCGCTGCTCCTGTGTAATATGCTGTTGGCGCCGGGGGTGACCGCGGTGTGGCTGAACCTGCCGGCTTCGGGCACCAAGTGCGTCTCGGAGGAGATACAACCCAACGTGGTGGTGCTCGCCGACTATGCCGTCGTCCATGAGGGCGAGGCCGACGGCCTCCCCATCATCTCCGCCAAGGTAAGCAAACAACTAGTCTCTAGGCCTCTAAATTTTACATCTGTCCTTGATGTTGTGACCGCGTAGTTTCTTGATCGGGGATAATTATTTGTCATTTGACAGACAAAGCTTGGTTTTCGATCTTAGATTTGCATGACATCGGAAGCATTTCTTGGAAATTCTTTGTTTGGCCAAAGCGGATGACTGAGATCGGAGTGATTTTGGTAGTTCTGGTATCTGATGTGTGGATTTGCTTGTTTTCATGAGTGGGTGAAGTCGTGCTTTGTGTTAATGGTTGGATCCGAGGAGGAAGGGTTTTGTAAGGGCGATCATTTCAGAGCATTTGCAGAGAGTGAAAGTGCTGGATAGACTTTGAATTGGATTAAAGGACCAGAAGTGTATTCAAGGGTTCTCCCTACCAAAATTTCACTGCTAAATTCTTCTGTTGATACGGATGATAATGGCCATTTAACAATCAGGTCTGAATCTTGACTATGAAGGCTTTAAAAGCATCAACAGATGCATAGAGAGAATTATATGATGGTGAGGGAAGTACGAAGAAAACCAGCACAATCTTACTGCCATGTCGGTATCTCTGGTAAATTCGACAGGCAAGAGCAACAGAGTTTGTGTTGGAAAAATACGACAAAGAAGAGGATGAAAATAATAACAAACACAAGATCAAGAATACTATAGGAAATATATTTAGGCTTGAAACGTGTATAAACACTTTTCTAAAAACGATATTTGCACCCTTTTCTCAACAAGATTGCTATGGGTTTGATGCAAATAGTTTTAGTGGATATGACAAGCCTTTAGAAGATCTGTATTGAGCAAATAATAAAGAATCTTCAAAGAGAAATTAGAGAATGTTTAATTCAATCACTTGGAGAGTAAAGAAGAAGAGTATGAAAGAGATATCATCATAATTTACTCTTAAATACCTATTTATAGATATTTTTCACAAAAGACACAACCTTTGAAAAATAACTATCAAAATAACTATAAAGGAAACCACCTTTTCAAATAAGTCTTTTGAAAAGAATTTTTTTTTTTTTAAATTTGAACAATTTATAATAATCCCCCACTTGTTCAAATTTAAAATTTTCTCCAAGTGATTAAATAGTATTTATGAATAAAATAATATATATCTTTCGATTTGAATATTACCTTAGTGTAAGCATCACAAAGTAAAGTCGAAATCCCAAATAGCATAAAAGCTTTGAATTTATTATTCCTAATGACAACACTAGTGATACCACACACAAAAATACAACATCCTTGTATTCCTCATAAAATCTTGCTTAGCCTTAATATGGCCTTGGGCTCATCCAAGTTTATGAACTTTTATGAGAGAAACTCCAACTCTCAATCGAAGCGGCACCACTTCTAAGTTCATATAGGTGAAGTTTTTAAAGTATCATTGTCACTCTTTGAGATACTTGTCCTAACTTGACTGAACTTCATTAAGAGTATAGTTAACTCAACCCTTATTCGGTGACAACCAGCACTTTAACATCTTTAGATAGGACTCATAAAATATTTTAAAGTGCTGAACTATTACACATGTCAATGACTTGTTCTTACCCTTTGAACTCTTCATTACTGATTTCATAATATTATGTAGGGTTTGTTATCATTGGTGGATTTTTTATTCAAGGAGTTTTAGCCCTATCCATTTTGATGTTGATCTTACAACTTCTCTTGTAAGAGGTTTGGTGAATGGATCAACCAAATTCTCACTTGTTTTCACAAATGTGAGTGAAATAATCTCACTCTTGATTAATTTCCTTACATAATCATGTCTAAGACTTATATGCCTTGACTTTCCATTATATATTTCACTATACGCACGAGCTAAAGTGACTTGACTATCACAAAGTATAGAAATTGAATTCACACTCTTAGAAGTCAATGAAATTTCTAATAAAAAGTCCCTCAACCATTAAGCCTCCTTTCCTGCATCTGCTAGAGCAACAAATTCTGATTTCATAGTTGAGTGAGTTATACACATTTGTTTCTTGCTCTTCCAAGAAACAACGCCACCTCCCAATGTGAACACCCAACAAGTGGTGGATTTGTTATCTCCAAAACTCGATATCCAATTTGCGTCAGTATATCTTTTTAAAATAACAAGAAATTTTGAGTATTGTAGGTCATAATCTTTGGTTCATTTAAGGTACCTAAGAACTTTTTCAATAGCCTTCCAATGCTCTACATTTGGATTAGTAAATCTACTCAATTTACTAACTGCAAATGCTATATCAGGTCTTGCGAACTGCGTTGCATACATAAGACTTCCTATAACACTTGAATATTCTAATTAAACCACTGTTCTTCTAACATTCTTGACTAATTTGATACTTGGGTCAAATGGGGTATTTGTTTCTTTGATTTTTAAGTGACTGAATTTCTCTAGTTCTTTCTCTATGTAATGAGTATCAACTTGCCCAACATCTTTCATCTTCAATGTTGAAGAGAGAAACCTCGTTGTTTCTACAATACCTTTCATGTTGTTGTTCACTATTAGCATATCATTACATAAAGGCAAACTATCACCATATAGTCATCACAAGTTTTGAGATAAACACATTTATCTGCAATATTATGTACAAATCCATTAGAAAGAATTATTGCATCAAATTTCTCATGCCACTGTTTTGGAGCCTGCTTTAAACCATACAATGACTTAATAAGTTTACACACTTTATGTTTATTTCCTGGTAGAACAAAACATTCGGATTGTTCCATATATATCTCCTTATCGAGGTCTTCATTTAGAAATGTCGTTTTGACATCTATTTGATGAACATAAAGATAAAAAATTGATGCTAAAACAAAAATAATTCTAATAGATGTGATCCTAGCCACAAGAGCATATGTGTTAAAATAATCTATTCCTTCCTTTTGTCGAAATTCTTTAGCAACTAACCTTGCTTTGAACGTTTGGAGAGTACCATTTATATGATACTTCCTACAAAATACCCATCTACAACTAATAGGTTTAGAGGCAAAAGGTAAATCGACAAGTTCCTAAGTGTGGTTTGACATAATAGAATTCATCTCATCATTAATAGCATCTTTCCAAAAAGCAGCATCACGAGAGGCCATAGCTTCTTTAAACGTTTTAGGATCATCTTCCACTTGTAAAACAAGAGGAATTGTTTTTAAGACTCTCTCATTAGTTCCTTCTACAAGGTAAAAAGAAATACTTTGATAATCAATCTCATCCGATCTTAATGTTTTTGCTTTTCATACACAAGTGCTTCTCCTTAATTCATGAGATTGCTCTCCAACCTCTTGTGAACTTGATTGATGTCCAATCAAAGGAATATTAGGTTGCTCACCAACCTTTTGAGATGTCTCCACTAGTGACTCTTCACTAGTTGGAGGATGAACATTATTACTTGAAGTCGTTAAATGTTCAAAGAACTCTACATCTCGAGATTCTATTATGATATTAGACTTCAAATTAAGAAGTCTATAAGCTTTGCTATTTGTGGCATAGCCTATAAATGCACATTTGATTCCACTAGGTCTCAACTTTGTCCTTTGAGGATCATTATTCTTAACATATGTAAGACACTCTCACACTTTAAAATAACCAATGTTAGGTTGTCTTCCTTTCCATAACTCATATGGAGAGATCTTATTCTTTTTAAAGGGAATTTTATTTAAAAAATGACATGCAGCCAATAAAACTTCTCCCCATAAATTATAAAATAATTTAGCATGCAACAACATAGCATTAATCATCTCTAGATAAGTTCGATTTTTTCTTTCTGCTAATCCATTTTTCTCAGGTGTTCTAGGTGCTGAACATTCATGAATTATGCCATGTTGTTAACAAAACAAGTTAAATTCATTAGGAAAGTATTCTCCTCCTCTATCGCTTCTTAAAACCTTAATTTTCTTCCCTATTTGATTTTCAACTTCTGCTTTATATGCCTTAGAAGCATTAAAAGCATCATTTTTATGTTTCAATAAGTACACATGTGAATCTAGACATATCATCTATAAAAGTAATGAAATATCTATTACCTCCTCTTGTTAATATGCCATTTAATTCACATATATCAGAATATGTATTAAGTCTAACAAATTAGTATATCTTTCAACATTTTTGAAGAGTTTCTTCATCATCTTTGATTTAACACAAATTTCATATTTATTAACATCATCAAAATGATAATTTATTAAGCTACACTTAACCATTCTTCTAATGGTGCTAGTTCCAATATGTGCTAATCTATCATGTCATAATGAATAAGAATCAACAATATAAATAGAAACAATATCTTTATTAAATTTAGAATCATTATCAACAATAGATAATTTGATCATTTCCTCAGCGAAATAGCCTTTTCCAACAAAAATTCCATTACGGGATAGAATTAACTTCCTGGATTCAAATACAGATTTAATTCTAGGTTTGCCAAGGAGATTCCCACTCACTAAATTTCTACTTGTATCTGGTACATGAAGAACATTAGTAAGAGTGACTTTCTTTCCGGAAGTGAAAGTGAGTTCCACATTTCCCTCGTCAATCACCTTAGAACGAACTTTATTTCTCATTTGAATCTCTTGCCCTTTTGTGACTTCTTTGTAAATCTTGAAGAGTGCCTTATCATAGCAAACATGGACGGTAGCACAAGTATCATACCACCAATCAGAAACCTTGCCAAATATGACATTCACTTCGCTCACCGTAGCGATTATATTATCATCTCCCTCAACGGAGTTGACTTCCGATTTTTTGCCTTTTTTAAATCTGCAATCCCTAGCAAAATGATCAGGTTTTCCACAAATAAAACAACCTCCAATTTTTGGCTTCTTAAATTTTCTTTGATCCCTTTTGGGGCCAAAATGATTCTTCTTGTTTTGCTTGCTTTTGTTGGAATTCTTAGGCTGATTCATAACATTTGCTTTTATATTGCCAAAAGAGTTCTCACTCTTATCTCTCATTCTCGATTCCTCCTCGATTCGAAGATGTTTTTGAATTTGCTCCAAAGTGATATTCT